TGGCTTAAAGTTTCTGCCTTTCTTGTATTAATAGCTGTGCTTCAGAGGTGGAGACTTCTCCCCAGGTAAACTACTGAAGGAATTCATTTAGTTGGCTGTTGTTATTATGTTATTTGCTTTATTGTAATACTTTTGGATAGTTGTCCCCTTTACTATAAAACTCTTCAAATTTTCTCTTACTCACCAGATTCTCCACTGGAGAAGGAGGGGTAACCTCCTCCTGTGCCATTCAGATCTGATTCAACGGTACACAACATACACAACAAAATTTTTTTTTTTAAAAATTCTCTTACCGTTGTAAGTACACTAAATACCACTATCTCATGGAAAGAAAACGGCTTTGTTAAACCAGCCGAGTCAGCAGCCAGTGCCAACACTGTAACTGACTGCTGGAGATGTCATCCCGGTCCATGATCTCTACCTGAAAATTCAGATCCGTTCGCTTCTTCCGTACTCCCCTCTGCTATTACTTCAAACACCACTTTCGAGTGCTTCCTACATGTTAAACCGTGGTATCCAACGGGGCTATTATTTCAATCCCAGCCTCTGTGGTTTGATCTAACCCAGATGAGAACTAAGAATTCCCTGATGACTGACCACATTACTTTTTCATGAACCTTTTTCCAACTATCAAATACAAGTTACTCATAAGTAAAAGGGGTACAACAAACGAATAAAGGGAAATCTATGCTTTAAGTGAGAACCAGTGATGTTGGAATTAGGATCATTACCTATTTGCAATCATTCTTTAACCAGTGACCTAGCTTAAACGGGTAACCAGACCAACTCCCCTCCACTAAATAGAAATAAACAGAGGATCACAAGTACTCCCTATGGATATGTGTGGCTATGTGGATGGTCTAGGTATCTTTACACAGATATGGAAACACAAAGCACAAGCCATGTGCTGGAGCACTGTCCTGTCTGGTTAGAACACATCAATGAAAAAAAAAAAGAAAGAAAGAACACATCAATGTTCTAACAATGGAAGTCAATGATACTTAAGAGTCCTCTTTTTTTTTTAAGAGTACCCTAAATGTCCATTTTTATAATGAAAGCACACACAGAACTAGTGATTTGAAACCTTTTCTATACACAGAACAGGACTCATACATAAAAACATTCTATATGTAATAGGTCTGGATAGGATGGTTTTCCTTTGAGCTTTTCTCTCTATATGTAGTATGCTACTTTCTTAAAAAGACTTATTTGGAAGCCTCTCCCATTGTCGCCTGTCAGCCATGAAGCTGAACCTCTAGGGGTGCCAGGCACTCCCCAAAACACAACCATGGAAAACAGGGGCTTTGGGGTGGGGCTAAGTTGCAGGGGAGGGTCTGTGGGGAGGGGTGGGTGTGCATGTGGGGGTGTGGATGCGGGGAGCTGGAAACCAACAGCAAAACTGTACATTTTTCCTAAAGTTTGTTGAAAAGAATTTTGTCTTAATTCTATAAAACATTTAAAACCAAGTTAGATATTTGTAACCAAAAAACATTTGTACACAAAGCAGCACTGTCTTACACCCTGCAGTTGGATAGGAAAAGAAGTAAAACTGGCTGTCCGATGTTCTGACACAGTGGGGAGGCAGTGGAGGGTCTTCTCCCTAGGGAGGGCAGGCTGGAGTGGGGGCAGTGGGAGAGCTGTGACTGGGGCAGAAGCCTTATTTGTCCCGTGGCATAACTAATGAATAACACTGCAGAGAGAGTGACTGTCCGACAGAAACCTCTGAAATCCCTTGCCAATGTAATACTGGAGAACAGAATAGCTCTAGATTTCCTGCTAGCTCAGCAGGAAACCCTAAGGGCTATTTCTACCTCCTCCTGCTCCTGGGCAAAGAATTCTGGGGAATTATTAAAAAACATTAAAAAGATCTGCCAAAAAGCTACCTGGCTGCCTGCAATATCTTCTGTGTCTACACCTTTATTATTTATATATTTTTGCTACCTTTAGTTATCAAAAAGGATCAGTTCTTGGTTACATTCACTATTACAAAGTAGACTACTAATTTAATCATAATTATAATCAGTATAATTCTTCATATCAAAACCCACTGCCATGGAGTTGATAAAGACGCTGTAAGAAAACAGAGAACTTCCCCTTAGCTTCTGCAACAATAAAGCTCTGTAGGAGTGGACTGTCTCATCTTCTCCCACGACTAATTGGTGGGTTCAAACCGCCAAGATTTCAGTTAGTGGCCCAGTGCTCCACCCATTATCTCATCAGGCTCCCACAGTCACTATATTGTTTTTGTTGCTGTTATGCACCATCATGTGGGAACAAATTCATTGCTCACTTCCACTGGGTTTTTAAAGGCAGTAAATAGCATAGAAGAAATAGTCCCTCTTTCTTCCACAAAGCATCTGGTGAATTCGAACTGCCTATCATAACAAACTGTGGCTGACTCTGAGAAGAATGGGAATCCCAGAACACTTGATCGTTCTAATGAGAAACCTATACTTGGACCAGGAGGCAGTCATCAGAACAGAGCAAGGGAACACTGCATGGTTCAAAATTGGGAAGGGCGTACGCCAGGGATGTGTCCTATCTCCATACCTTTTCAACCTGTATGCAGAAAAGATTATCCGGGAGGCTGGGCTCTATGAGAAGTGTGGTGTCAGGATTGGTGGAAGATCTATTAACAATTTGTGCTATGCAGATGACACAACCCTGCTTGCTGAAACTGAGGAGGACCTGAAATGCTTGCTGCAGAGGGTCAAGGACTACAGCCTTCAGTATGGATTGAAGCTCAATGTCAAGAAGACAAAGATTCTCACCACTGGACCAACTGGCAGTATCAGGATGGATGGTGAAGAGATTGAGATTGTTAACAACGTTAGTCAGCATGGCTCCACGGTCAACATTCTTGGCACCAGTAGCCAGGAAATAAAAAAAATGTATTGCGATGGGAAAATCTGCTGTTAGGGACCTCTCCAGGGTACTGAAGAGCAATGGTGTCACTCTGAAGACTAAGGTGCATCTGATACAGGCTATGGTCTTTGCAATCACTTGTTATGCATCAGAGAGTTGGACAATGACTAGGGAGGATAGAAGGAGAATTGATGCCTTTGAGCTGTGGTGCTGGAGAAGAGTACTGAATGTACCCTGGACTGCCAAGAAACAAACAGATTCATCCTGCAGAGGGTTAAACCAGGCTGCTCTGCTCCTTGGAGGCAAGGATTCTGGGGCTTCGTCTGACATACTTTGGACATGTTGTAAGGAGGGAGAGGTCCTTGGAGAGGGACATTATGCTTGGGAGGGTGGAGGGAAGACCCTCTATGAGGTGGATTGATTCAGTGACTGGTAATCAGGATGGGTGTGTCAGAGGCAGTGAGATTTGCACAGGACAGAGCAGGGTTTAGGGCTGTTGTGCATAGGGTCGCTATGAGTCGCAAGCAACTCAACGGCACATGACAACAACATCTTGGGATTGGCAGCACAACTCCGTGCCACACAGCCATCAGAGCGTGTAGTCATTGGAAGCGTAACTAAACATGCCATGAAATGCTCATCACATATAGGTCTCTACTGCAGTTCTCCTCACTGTTCAATTAATGATATATTTTTCAATAGTTCCAAACTTCACAAGGAGACTGATTTCACACCTTGAGTTAATCTTTGTAAAAAGCAGTACTTTTTTCTAATGTGAACCTGTTTGTAACATGAGCTCAAATACCTGGCATGAGGTCTAACAGCACAAGAAGGTGAGGGGAAAGCACATTAATCAATCATGAAAGCAAATGATAACATAAAACTCCAGAATGTGCAACTAAAGTCTCTGCAGAAGAAAGGGTCGGTGAATGTGATCACAATACCCTAGCAGGGGCCTGACCGAAAGGGAGAAGCAAATCTGAGGCACTTAACATACTAAACGGGGAGACCCAGGACTGGATTCGAGTTCACTTTCCCTCCTTTACCCCTTTTCTAGTTTTTACTCACAGCCAGACTCTTAGAAACTTTGCCTGCCCTCAGCAAATGAGAATGGGGTCAGGAATGTGGTAGGTCTGTCCAATGAAACCTACAGTTATCTTTGCAGAGTCTATTCTCAGAGTATTTATCCAAGGCCCCTTGCTGTTGTTGGTGATTGCCTTCGAGTCAAGCATGACTCATAGTGACCCTAAGGACAAAAGGCTTGAAGCCCCTCAGCAACTATCGACATTTATCAAAATTCATAGGATTTCCAGGGGCATGTTATTTGGGAAATGGATACCACTCAGTAAATGATAGTGGGGTCAGGAATGTGGCTGGTCTGTCCAGTGAAACCTATGGTTATCTCTGCAAAGCATATTCTCAGAAAACTTACACAAGGCCCCTTATGAAAGTAATTTTATAGAAACACCATCCATGCTGGCCTAAAGATGTTTACACAACAGAAAAACAAGTTCTTTTGAAATATTCATGGTCTTACAATGGAAACTTATAAGATCTCACGATTACCTAACTGATTATATAAAACTCTGTAAATATCAGTCAATGATAAGATTATCTGCTAGTTCCTGATATTTTAGTATTTAAACCATCCTCTGGCTCTGGCTCACCGGAGCATATGGTAGTTCTCCATGTATACTGGCCAGTTCCAGCTGTTCTATTCCTCATAAATCTCTGTTTCTAACAAAATTGTTTTCTTCTATGACACAATTAATAGGGAAAGAGGACACAATTAATAGGGAAAGAGAAGAGTAAATAAAAGTTTCTGTGGTGTCAAATGGCATTAAGAAGAAATAAGACCTCAATGTGAGGGCCAGCAGGGCTGGTGAGGGCCTCAGGAGAGGGGACACAGAAGGAGACCTGGTCGTTTGAGATGCTTCACACTGTGGGAAGAGTCTTCCTGACTCTCAAGCCGAATCCAGCAGCCTTTCTATAGGTCAGCATGATGAAAGAGACCAATGGGCCTGCTGGGTTCCTCTCAACTCAGACCAAGCTGAGAAACTGTGGAATCAACGACTTTTATAACAATGTTTTCTGGCCACTTGTGTCCCACACGGGAGAAATAAATGATACCATACCACCACGGGTCTGTTTCCCAAGAAGTTCAGGTCACTGTTCTCTCCGAACAGGTAGCCTTCTGGATGACTTGAGTCGAACTTCTCTCCTCCCATAATGAAGTGACTTGCAAAGTAACTCCCTGGAGAGGGGCAAACAGAGATAACCAGTCAGACCAAATTAAGTAATACACTGGATCTTTTTAAAATGTCTAAAGCTTCCAACAAAGAATTAGAACCATTTCTATACCCAGGAGTGTATTGTTTTCTTGAATTCGGACAATTACAAATGATTAGCAAAATTATAGCAGGGAGAACCTAACATACTAAACATAAAGTAGATTAATATTATTTTCCTTTTAACATTTTTTAATTGAATCCCGATCATGTTCAGTCAGTAAGAGACCAGTAAGTCTCCACAGCTCACATTAATGAGAGGAACCAGTGCCTTGAATCATGGTGTTCACAAAGAAAACAAAGAACCACAGACTGCCGAAAAACCAAAGAAATGTGTTTTATCAGATGTTCAGCCCAAGAGTTCCTTAGATCCAAGGATGGTGAGACTTTACCTCCCATGCTCTGGGCATGTTACTAGGACATCACACTCAGAAATGTGGGGGGATCAGCAAAAGAAAGAAAACCTTCAGCAAGATGAAGTGACATGTGACTGCAACAACAGGCTTACACCCAGTAGACATGGCGGGACGGCTCAAGTTCCAGCAGGGCTTTGTTCCACTGACCACAGGTCTGCTAGGAATCTGAGCTGAGCTGACAGTAGCTAAAACCACAACATATGAATTGTGTTACTCATTTTTTCCCTTATATTTTAAACAGTTATTCAAGGAACCTTCCTACAGATACTAGCGTTATCTGCACATGCCTAGATTTCTTGAACTAGACTTCCATAAGCCAGCTTGTACTCATACACAGAAGTGTTAGTACCAAACCACCACCTTATCTACATTCCCAATCCTCTATATAAAGTCGATTTCCATTTTGCTTCCAAAGATGTGACTGTTTCATAAGAGAATATGAAATTAAACAATCCTGCCTCCCTGCCTTTCTATAGCCAATCACCGCACAACACACTTATATAAACCTGGGCCTCAAGTACAATAGTGCTCATGGCCAGGGCTGTAAAGCTTCAGCCACAGAAGGGGTGTCTGTCCCAGTTCAACCAGGCAGGAGGCAGGGATAGCATCAACAGCGCCACAGCCACATAAAATTAAATCGGAATTCCCACCGATCTCCCTAAGACAGATGCAGGACCTGTGCTAGGATGTGACAGTGATGAAAAATCACAAAGGGAGACTCAGAAAACACTGTACATTTCATTTGAGAGAACTCTCCAACTTTGACAATTAAATCAATGTCTCTTGTCCCAAATACCTATAACCTAGTTTCTCCAGGAAGGCAAGTTGTCCTATGTGAAAGACATGTGCTGTAATATACCTTAATAATGTTCTCATAGACCTCAAATTCTCAAATCAATATAACTAACCCACAGCTATTACATCACTTATAACTCACAGCAACCCTCCATCAGATTTGTGAGGCTGTATATTTTCACAGAAGATAACCCATCTTTCTCCTGCAGAGCAGCTGGTGGTCGCTTTGAACTGCCCACCTTTTTGTTTGGCAATCAGCATATAAATGAACTACACCACAGCACCAGGGCTCCTTCAAGTTAATACAGAGAACTTAGGAAATTGCAAAAAGGTGATTTACATATAATACTACTGGGAGATATAGAGATTGACATATAGACACACACACACACTCTCTCTCTCTCCCCCCTCTGTCTCTCTCACTTCTCTATCAGCTGTCCTCTTTCTTGAAGATTTCTAGCACACTAATCAACCCCAAACTTTGTTTTAGCCTGTGGAGAAAGAAGACAGAGAAGAATCACAGAACCAAACACTCTTTTTTTTAACATTTTTACACATGGAGTTTGTCTAGCAAGGCCTCCTAAACAAAACAATGTGGATAAACCCCGTCACCCCAAAGTGAGGTGATTCTTAATCAGCCGACAAGCAGGGGTACACATGTGAGTACTATAAGGGAGATCAGAGCCAACACAGAAGAACTCTTAAAGGAACCACCAAAACACAAAGGCCGCTGTCTGCAGAGACAACGCTGCAGAGGCCTAGGAAAGGCCACGAGCTATTATTTATGCCAGCACATGCAGGTCCTATTTTCCAAGTGCATAATTTATAAACACAGTAAGTGCCTCTCTGCCTTCAGTATAAGCAGCCATCTCATCTAATTTAAGAGTCATTTAACTTGGAATCTTGGTCCAAACACACTTTCTCGTTGTTGTTGCTGTTATGTGGCGTCGAGTCACTTGCGACTCATAGTGACCCTATGTACAACAGCCCTAAACTCCGCTCTGTCCTGTGCCAATCGCACCGTCTCCGATACACCCATCCCAATTGCCCCAGTCACTGAACCAATCCACCTCATAGAGGGCCTTCCCCTCCTGCACTGTACCTCCACCCTCCCAAGCATGATGTCCTTCTCCAAGGACCTGTCTCTCCTTACAACATGTCCAAAGTATGTTAGACGGAGACTCAGAATCCTTGCCTCCAAGGAGCCACCCGGTTTAACCCTTTCCAGGACAAATCTGTTTGTTTTCCTAGCAGTCCATGGTATTCTTAATACTCTTCTCCAGCACCACAGTTCAAAGGCATCGATTCTCCTTCTATCCTCCTTAGTCATTGTCCAGCTCTCTGATGCAGAACAAGTGATTGCAAAGACCATGGCCTGTATCAGATGCACCTTAAGTCTCCAGAGAGACACCATTGCTCTTCAGTACCCCGGAGAGGTCCCTAACAGCAGCCTTTCCCATCGCAATACATCTTTTAATTTCCTGGCTACTGTTGCCGAGAGTGTTGACTGTGGAGCAGAGCAGACTAAAGCTGTGAACAATCTCAATCTCTTCACCATCCATCCTGATGCTGCCAATTGGCCCAGTGGTGAGAATCTTTGTCTTCCTGATATTGAGCCTCAATCCATATTGGAGGCTGCAGTCCCCGACCCTCTGCAGCAAGCGCTTTAGGTCCTCCTCACTTTCCACAAGCAGGGTTGTGTCATCTGCATAACGCAGTTTATTGATAGATCTTCCACCAATCTTGACCCCACATTCCTCCTCATAGAGCCCAGCCTCCCAGATAATCTTTTCTGCATACAGGTTGAAAAGGTATGGAGATAGGACACATCCCTGGTGCACGCCCTGCATGCATGGTTCTCTATGTTAGGGATTATATATTCTAGAGTAGGTAGGAACTCTTGTAGCATAGTGTATTCCTTGTTGGTTAAAAGGTCAGCGGTTTGAGGCCAGCAGCTACTCCATGGGGGAAAACAGACAATCGGCAGTCTCTTCCCATTAAGACTTACAGCCTTCGGGACCAGAAAGTGTTGTTATGAGTCAGAATCCATTCAACAGCAGTGGCAAAGGCAGGTGAGACCAGAGATGCTAAAGGTTTCCCGTGGGAGGACAGGGGAAGACGGAGGGAAGCAGATCTGGTGTCTGAAGCAGTACGTGCCGAGCTGAGTGCGGCCCCACCACCTGAGGGCAGTCAGGTGATGGGCAGGCGGCCCTTAGCTTCCTGGCAGAAGTGCCGGGGGCGGGGGGGGGGAGCTTGGCAGGAGAGCAGCACTAATGATGTGGGGGCTAAGGGGTCAGAGTTGGAAATGGGGTGTTTTTGTCTGTTTTTTTGCCAGAATAAAATAAAATACAAGAAGTTATTAAGAAAGGAGGTATGTGGAGGTAATTATACTTTTGCCTGGCATTAAAAATAAAGCATAAAGATATAAACAAATCTAAAATTAGAGTCAGTAGATCACAGGATTTTTAAAAAGGATTTTTCATATCAGTAGAAGAGTAACCACAAAATTCCTGTAACTAGCTAATTTCCCTTGGTACACTTAAAAGACAAATACAACTTCATTTCTAAAGCCAGAACTAGTTTTTATAAAAATTCAATATAGGCAACTTTAAAGTGTGTGTGTGTGTGTGTATATATATATATATCTCACATTTAATAGATTAGCGATAGAAACTTCTAACCAGGAACAGTTTTCTCAAAATTACATGGGTAACTTACAATTAAAATTAATTTCAACCCTTGTTCAACCACTCCATTCGTAATTCTTTGACACTGTTCACTTTTAGACCTTTGCCTGTTATGTGGGAAGTACCTTCAACATGTATACTTCTAAGAACTGAAGGCAAATAAGCTCACAACACTCTGATTAAAAGAAAATCCTAACTTCAGACATCAAAATTATACTTTTTCCTCACTTTGAAATTGAACTCTCTAACAACTTGCCCTTGGTAGACAGATCAAATAAACCATTCGGGAAAAGTAGGTAGTTATTGCCTCTTGGTCAGCCTCTCTAGAGGGACAAGCTCCACAGCTACCAGGCTGACAGACCCCAACACTAGGCACACGAACAAGCCATGTACAAGCTGCCTTTGGTCAACTTGTGCACAATTTCCCCCCCCCCTTTCATTTCTTTACAGGGTAAACACATGGAAACCAAACCCCAGTACTATCAATTTGATTCCAACTCAGCACCTGCACAGGGCAGAGTGGAAATGCCCCCGAGGGCTGCCCAGCCACATCTTTCCCCCAAGGAGCAACTGGTAGATGCAAACCACTCACAACCATCTGGGTACAGCCACATGCTTTAACACTGCACTACCAGCTGTAAAATCTGAATCTATATCCATTCCATTAATATTTGAAAAACAAACATGTTTAATTCAGGCTCATTTGTTTCATTTACCTTTTATTTTTAGAAATTGCTTTCAAATATTACAATTACATAGAAGACTTATATGATTCCAGTGTTACCCATACAAAATATATATTCAAAGAAATCTCGTTTCTATCTTTGTGTCTTCCAGTTTGTGCCCTGTGACCGCATATAAATATTTTTAACAAGTATATGGTTTATCTTTATATGTTTATCTAATAAAACATTAATTTACAATATTGTTGTTAGGTGCTGTTGAGTCAAGCAGACTCATAGTGACCCTGTGAACAAAAGATCTGAACCCAGTCCTGTCCTGCGCCATCCTCACACTTCCTGACACACAAGAGCCCACTGCAGCAGTCACCGTGTCAATCCACCTGGT